AGAACATCTGAAAAAACACTGGCAACACACCTAAATTCCTCGTATGCTCGCCTCGATACTTATTGAGTACATTAGATTGTCGAATTGGCTTGAAATAATTACTGGCAATGTCTTCTTCTTCACTTTTAGCAAGTCTCTGAAATTCAAAGTGAATTATATGAAAGTTGTTGGCTTGCAGTTTTACCGGAACAGGGTCCAGTATTTTTGCATGTGGAATTGTGATACACAATCAACGATTTGGACACTTGCATAATCTTCTAAGATTAGAGGACGTTACCCTACTAACCAACAGAATATAAGTAAAGCAGAAATTGTTGTGCTGGATTGCCATTATTCATGGACATATGGCATCTAAGTTTTCACATGAAAAAAAAACCCGAGCCACTCGTTCAGTGAGTCGGAGAACTTGTACGTCCACTACATGTTCATTATTTATATTCACTCGGTAACCAATCAAAAGCGAATCAGTTCAGCAGGGATGAAACCAAAAGCACTCTTTATATTAAAGATTCACAAGAAATCCATCTTAGATAAGTCCATTGGTATTGTTTGGTTATCTGTAATCAATATTTAAAGGGGCCTTCTTAGTAGACGAAATCAATCCGCTAGACTTGCAGGAATCATTGGTAAGCCTAATTCGCTGATTACAAAAGTGTGCTTGTAAGTTAAAAGGCTTTCCCACAGCGCCGTAGCAGTGATCTAAAATTGCGTTCCCCACGCGGCATAGGGTATTGCGCGCGTCTTTGTTATTTATATGAAGATTTCTCGTCCATTTTGTGGAGATCTATGAGTCTCGGTATTACAAACTGCAGAAGCAACTGTGCTCCATCGTTCTGAAGGCATAGACTTTCCATTTGTTGTTTATATTATCAAATAAACTCGGTCATAAAAGTAAACATAAGTGGCCTGAGCATATGCATAAAAAGCATATGAACGTGCATACAAAATCTTGAGTACCTGCGTTATATGCTTTATCCACAGTTCATTCCAAAGCGGCGGAAATCCTAAATTCAATTTCAAAAAGGAGCGCGTTACATGTGAATAGCGTTGTGCGATCAGTCAACCACGCAATCACTGTATAGTCACTCAGACGCACTAACTGACAAGAAATGCGAGCTAAGGGCGAAACACCATCTTCGCGCTAAGATGCCTTTCCGGGAACCAAGTGCACCAGGAAATCAGCGAGATATAAGCTTTCTGATAAATTTAAAAGCGTGAAGGAAAATCTCTGTCCAGCGAAAAACGCAGCAAGTGAAAATTCAACTGCTAAGCACACTAGAAGAACCTTTTTATAATTAAAATATAATATTAAATTTCTGGACTTGAGGTACTGATCATTACTAGAGCTCTAAAATTAGCAGAATGCACGCTGTCCTTAAAGGGTTGAATATGATCACAGTTAATCAAACAATACCCATTCATCTATTGGTAGATGACGAATAATGACGATTTCATAAATTTGATAGTATTGAATACCAGATTGGATTGAGTACAAGCTGTACACTCTTTCAAAGAATGGTGCTGACTACAAATAGATAGAAACTTACCCGTCTCAGTTTAGAACTATCGTCGTCATACGAACTGCGAGGTATGTGCTCAAATTTGCTAGCTACACTGACTTCTGTAAAAATATCATTGATATATAACACATCTTTCGCATCGAGTGCTCCTATAGGCCAAGATCAAATTTTAATATGCCTGATATTTATCTTTGAACCATGCATATGGCCTGCTAGGCGTACTTGTACAGTGCAATACACGTGTTTCGACTTTCTAGTCTCATCAATTGCACAGTGCTGAACCAATCTCCTTTGGGAGGAAAACCATTCCTGTCCTGAATAAATTGTCGCCGACGAACGTTTTAAACGCGACGATGAGTGGTAAAATCACCGAACGGGCAGTATTGTACACTTACTTGCTCTTGGGCGATATCGTAAAGTATATCACACTTTTCGTTAATAATTACCAGGCATATTATATTCAAGGATGGTCTAAGGAAACACTCGAAACGGAAATATGATATATTTCACGATACCAGTCAAGGACAATCGAGCGTACAACATTGCCCGTCTGGTGATTTTATCTCTTATCGGCGCGTGTAAACGTTCGTCGACGATCTCTTTATGAATGGAGGATTCTCCCCCAAAAGGGATTGGCTCAGGCGAAAGGCACTGAGCAACTGACCAGGCTGAAAGGTCAGAACACGTGTGTTGTACTGTATAAGTGCCCATACAGACCATATGGATGGCTCGCCCAAAAGTATCTATCAAGTACATGATTGAAATGTTTTCACGCTAATGCTCGCTTTTTCAATCTCAGCAATAAATACGTAGTAAGTGGAAATTACGTGCTAGTAAGAGAATAATGATGAATAATCGATCAAAGTATAAGATGGTGCGGTATTAATAGGAGCACTTCATCTCGACTATGCAGCACTCGACTAAACCCTAGAGTATTCCAAGTTTCTTCATAGCCAGAAAATAGTGAGTTATAAATCCATAAAAACACGGCCTTATTTGCATACCATCAGTTCTTATTCATGTCAACATCTGCTGTTGAGTAATATTAATTTTAGATATTAAATTATCTACTACTACCTTTAAATTAATCTCTTACTCTCCGAGAGGTTACAATTTAGAAGAGAGATTTTATATTTAAATAGTACCATTATGTGCAGTCGGTAGAACTGTTCGGGATACGCTCATTTCTGGCAGAATCCAACGTCCTTCATCTTCGTTCCATATTGAATCTTTTTTCACCTTTTCGATGTTGTAGTAATTAGAATCCTAGACGATTTTTTGACGATCACATGATGGAATAACAATGAAAATAATAATAAAATCATAGCACCATTGAGCATTGTTAGTTACCTTCCTTATTAATGGTTGTATTTTCTCAATTATTTGTGCTAACAATTTCAATTGCTGGTCTTGCTTTCTAATCGTATCCAAATAGTCGAGACGATCAAGTTCAAATTCTCCTTGCAAATCCTCAACTTCGCTTTCCAAAGCTTTTGTCTGTAATTGAAACTGACTATATTACGGCACTGAAATAAAAAAGAAAGCTTTTGTCTGTAAATGAATCTGAATATAATTACGGTAGTGAAAATGAAATATAAAAAAACAGTATTTCGGTATTACATAAGCTGCTATGAACATTCTACTAATTATACCGAGCTTCAACCATCTTGAAAACTTCTTAGGATTTGAATTCTTTATTCGAATCCACGGATAAAATTTCCCAGATTCCCAGGATTCATAAACATTCCGAATGGGCCAATTAAGTTTCAAGTGTTTCAAAGTTTTTAAATATATTCATTACTCTCTGAGTGCTGCTCTATATATACCATATATTTTCAAAAGATTTGCTATTTCTAAATATGAAATGGACCACTCGCCATCTGTCTTCATTGATCGATAAAACAATAAGTAGAATGTAACAAAACCTCTCTATCGACTATTTGGAGACCTCGCTCAAAAACAATAAGTTCTAATAACATATGCTGAGCTTTTCATGAGGTCTGTTTCTGCACTTTTATAATGCTAGACACGTGTTTCGGTCTTCCAGCCACATAGATAGCACGGCGCCTTTCCGTTCAGTCAGTTCCTCGAGGACATATTGCCTATATAGAGAAAACGATGACGAATTTGTGACACTCGACATGCGTTTCTTCAGAGCACTTCATTGTCGCTTGGGGGCTCCGTGGCCGAGTGGCTGTGATGTGCGTCGCAGCGCACATCTCCGCCAGTCAACAGCAACATCCTATCGAACGTCACAGCCAAGCTATCCTCGAGATTGCAAGGAGACTCGCTCAATTCTACGCCGTTCAAGAAGAAGACAAATAAACTGAATGCTAAAAGTACTGGGATCTTCTCAGTGAAAAAAACGCTGTGAAGATTGATCAATAAAGTAGAAAGACTGTCGCTTGCATGGCGCACGGCTGTCACGTGGGTATATTTAACAAAACCTTTCAATTAGCTATTTGGAGGCCTCGCCCTCTATATGGCGGATATGTCCTTTGACTGAGCAAAAAGGCGCTGTGCTACTGATGAGGGTGGAAGTCCAAACACGTGTCTAGCATTTCACAAGTGCCGTAACAGACCTCATGAAATGCTCAAAATACGTTATCCGATTAGTAATAGATAAGCAAATCAGAAGAAAAAAGTCTGATCTAAACACTGACCCGATTTTTTTCACGTTGCAATTCACAGGTGATAGCGTCGAGTTTCTCTTGCGTTGAACTGTATACTTGTAAAAGCGGATCGTCTCGGTGCACGTTGAGGGCGGCTAAAGCTTGAAATGCTTCTAACGAAAATTTCCTTAAAAAAACCATGTAAAGCAGTTCTATCCAGGTGAAGTCTCACCATTTGGTATGAACGATTGATAGAAATGATTATGCCACGCAACAGTACTAAATCTTAGGTGGAATAATTATCAATATCAGATATTTCCCTTTGAGTTTCGAGCTTTTCTAGTTTACAAAGCGAAATCTCACTGTACAAGAAAACATGTTGTAAAAATCGTCTATCAAATATTACACTCAATCGACATAGCAATTCCTTTTCCAAATTATCAAAGTTATATCACAACGATGCATCCCTTTCACTAACCCGTTACCACATTTTTGAAAAGCAGATGTAGCTATAATACCCCGAAATTCTAGTATTTTCACTGCTTTTTTCGCAGTGTTAATATGTTACTTATATAACTAAGAGAATTGAGTGGTGAACAAAAACACGGCCTCAGGCGGGAATCGAACCCACGTTTCATCCTATCCGGGGACGCGTGCTCTACCACTACACCACTGAGGCACATTTGCCCGACCACTCATTCTTCAACATCGCAATGCTAGCTATCAGCCACCAACCTTTGACAGGTTTGGTCGGGTATGCGATTTCGCTTTATAAACCCAGTTGAGTTGACAGCTATTCTAATTACTAATACTCAAAATTGATAGTATTTTTAGTGCATTGTTGAAGAATGAGTGATCGGGCAAATGTGCCTCAGTGGTGTAGTGGTAGAGCACGCGTCCCCGGATAGGATGAAACGCGGGTCCGATTTCCGCCTGAGGCCGTGTTTTTGCCCACAAACTCAATTCTCTCAGGTAGATACGAAACAGTAGCATTAACATGCCATAACCGTATCAATTGTTATGACTACTAATCGTACATTGGAACGAGTAAGCATTGCTATATTGGGATTATGGCAGCAACCTCAATCGACACCCATGCAGCATGTCGATGAGGAGAAAAGGCAACATATTCTCTAATCCTTATTGAATGTTCATAAAAAACCTGCAATCTTTATGGAAGATATCTGTACAACAAGTCGAATAGCATAAGTATTGCAATTTTAGCGACATCTGAGGAAAACGCAATTAAATATCTATCGATGGCCATAACACAGTTGGTGCCGGATACAGTTGGATTTCTTTGGAAAGGCCCCCAATGCAAAATACTCTGAAACTGGCAGATATAATAATCTGGAAAGGCCTCAACAAAGCTTTATCAGGGCTTCAGTAGAATCACTTTGACTCCCACACCTGACAACATTTATGAAGAAGGCAAATTCTTCAAATGGCCACAAAACCCAAATATAAAGTTGGGAGCCGTTCTTAATGCCAAATTTAAGAGAACGGACCGGGGGCAAGAAATGTTGAGATTCGCGCAATATAAGACGACCAAGTGATGTAAATTGCTAAATCGATTGACAAGCAAACAAAATGGTAATAATAACAAAATAATCTTAACACAACCGGCTAATCGTTGCATCTTTGTCTCAGCATCCTTAAGTTTTTTTCGTCCTCTTTTCTTTAAGTTGCTCATTATCCGCCTAAAACATTTGGAGACGTTTCCTTACTTTGTAAGTTTTTCCTCTTAGAACCCAGCTTTGATGGAACAGTTCAATTGTATTTCTTAATCCCAATCTATAGAGTTGATCAGAAAGTTCTGGAAAATTTTGAAAAATTCGTTGTTATGCGCAAATTAGCAACAGAAACCACAATAACTATTTTTCAAAGTATAGAGCACCATCGACAACTTTCTGCCATCGTTCTGCAAGGTACTGGATCTGATCAAAGTACCAATTCGGTTCTTTTGAACCGAATAACTCTTGGCATGCTTCTTCAACATCATTAAATGATTCAAATGGACGGTCATCCAAGTTGGTACGCCAGAACCATACATACACGTGTTTCGGAGGTCTCACACCCTCTTCGGTGCCCCATGCTCTCCGAAACATTGTGTGGCTCTGGCGTATCAACCTCGCTCAGGCTTTGAACATTCTTAAAAATTATGTTGAATGTTTACTGCGACGTTTTGAAAACAGTCGATGCCATGGGCCATTCAAGTGCTGTGTTGGTCGTAGGAGACCATAATCGGATAAAGCAACCTCTGGACTACACGTGGAGTGCAGAAGAACTTCGACGTTGTTCAACTTTTCAGACTTGTTCTCATCCAGGACAAATGGCCGGCCAGAACGAGCTATGTATTCAAGTCCAAAACTGCTTTCTTTGGATTGCTTATATCATCTGCCCACGGTCGATTTTATCGCCGTACCACCACCTTCACCCTAATTGATCTCATCGGTTGCTTAAAGATTCTTCAAACTCCTTTCTAATAATGGCGGATCAGCACATGCAATTCACATTGTTCAATAGGCATTTTAGAGCTGAAATCAATAAACTCGATAACTATACAGGAAACTATCAATAAAAAGCGACGCGTAGATGGCAAAAATATAACTTAAAAATTCAACAGAACTTTTTCGTTAATTCACTGAAAAGTTCATTTTTCGAAAAAGAGTTAAGAATTCTGTACCAATTCTCCTCCAACAAATTGTTGTTGTAGTTGTTCAAGCTTTCGGGCAGCATCGCTAGGATCTAAGCCTTCCATTGTGTCCAGGTCAGAATTTGCCTGACAGAGTAAGCAATTACTAATCGAAAGGTTAAGAGATAGTTTGCATAATGGACTACAGCATCAAAACAATACACTTAGTTCAAGTTTGCATATGGCAACATATTTTACCAACTTTTTCGTATTGTTCCTTCAGCACCTGAAGCTCGTGAGCGAGTTCGGCTTTGCTCATTTGTTCCTTATGGTACTCCGCTCTAAAACGAGTTAACTTACAACTTATAGAAGTTCTAATAATTCATTGAGCATAGTACGGAATTAGTGATTAATCTTTTATGGTTTTTTTGCAATATGCGGCAGGGACTTGTGAAGGAGAACTTTTCGCTGGATAAACAGTTTTCACAGGGTGTTAGTAGTTTGGAAGCATAAATCTCGAAAAACTACTGTATGCACATTTTTGGGATAGGTTTCTTTTACAGCCTGCTAGCACTAAGAATGAATTAATGCATCACACGTGCCATACGCTTTTATTATCGCTTATATTTTATTGGACTAAGCTTTTCTTGGAACTATTATTGGCCATTAAATGGTATGAATCTCTTGGAATATAAAATTGTATTTGATTTCTAGGAAAACCTTTTTACAGATTCAAAATGAAATGTATTTAAAGCGTTACAAGCTCTTATAATTATCGTGCTTATATATTCGCTAAGGTTTTTTCTTTAACTTATTTATTATCATTGAATAGAGTAAATTTCAGCTGAAATTTGTTTTTCGAACTGCACTGGAGTGAAGAAATCTTTCCGGAAAATAATTACGCCATTGGAATCCTTGAAACCTACGTTATCCAATATTTACTCATGATCCAAGGAAAGAGCTCGGTTGCTCGCGAAAGGCGCGTGTGAGTAACACAAACTTTTCTTTTTGCTACAGTGTTGTAAGAAAGCCTTTTTTAAAAGCAAAGACATTTTTGAACTTTTAAGAATTAAGCTATCGAACGATTACTAACAGGATAGAAAAAAAGCTTTATTTTGCGACAAAACGAGCGATGAAGCACGAAAGTGCAAAAAAAACGCGCAACGCTTGTGAAATGCTATTTCATTTTGAGCGCTGTAAAAAGGCCTTTTTTGAAAAAACATGCATGCAGAAAATTTCCAAAACTTAAGCTTTTGAGTGTTTGTTGAAACTACGAAGAAAATTTTCGTTCAGCGAAAAATTCCTTCTACAAATCCCTGCCGGATAACAGAAAGGAACCTTCTTAGTTTATATGATCGTTCATCATATCTACTGTACGGATCCCTGCACCTGAATTCTATTCAGTTCTTTGCATTCATCCTTCACAAAATCTTTAAACATTTTGTATACAGATTCGGCCGTTGCTTGAGGACTACGTCTTCTGTGTGAATGTCGTAGAATGCTGATCAAGCGACTCGCCTTGCAATCTTGAATATGGCCGAGTTAAGGTGCACGTAAACTACTGGAGAGTCTCGTGAAGGTGATCGAGCCAATAGCTGCTAACATTCGCACAAAACAGTGAATACATCGCTTTAACGTGAAGCGTCACATATTGACAAATAGGAATTTGCAAGAATAGTATTCAGTTTTGATTAACCCTGCCACTTTCATCTACTTAGATACTCAGAACTTAGTCTGCCTGTTTTCTTTTTACAAACAGAGTGAAGCAACTATTTTTTTTCTCGTTAAATTAATGTGATGGTCTCACATATAATTTCTCACCTTAGTTCCCTCATTGTCTCCTCAAGCTCCTCGCGTAATTTAGCTCTCTCGGCTTCTATATCGAACGGAACTATTGATGCAGCTGAAAATTCTTCTTGGTACCTCCTTTCAAAGAAAATGGAAATTTTTAAAACGATTTTTCAAACGCGCAGAGATAATAATGGTCGCCGTCCGTGGTCCATCATGGCAAACAAAAAGGTCACCCTTTGTGGTCATAAAAAGCTACAAAAAGTTTTATCTACATTATTTTTCACTAATATCGTTATCATAACCATAAGTATCCCTAGGTCGAAGATGAGGTTTGATCGCTACCTGTTTTATACAAAGACTCACCCACCCTTTGCCTCAACATCGGACGGAAGCGTGATCGATGAAATTTCTCATCGATTTCATACGAGTTAGTTCAATAATATGTTTGAGAAATCAAAGTCTGACCTTTTTGCATCAAAGATTATAAAACACAGTAAAATTTTGAAAAGAGAGTAACCATTCGCTCCGGGTTCAAGCAACGCCTTAAGGCGTTCGATCTCCTCTTGATACTCTCTGAGTAGGGCATCCTTCGGATCTTCGTTGATCTTCGGTTTATTCTTAATATTCTTCGCTCGATTGGCATATCTAGAATAATTAATATCATATAGTTTAAAGCATGAGGCATTTAGCATTATCCAGCCATAACTGCACCATAGTATTCGACTGCAATTGTAGGAGTAACTAAGTCATAACTCGGGCTGAACAATTATTTTTGTAAGTTACTGATGTACCCACTCAAAACTTCAAATCTCTCAGACATGTCTGGTACTAATTTTCTGATACCGAAGAGATGTGTAGGAGCTCGGTAGCCTAGTATCAGGGTGCAGAGCAGTATCAATGATCACATGTGTATTTTACTAGGTTGGAAAGAAAGTTTCCATCATCTGGTTAAACATTCAAAATTTATGCATATATTCAGACAGCAAACAACATCAACTATTCTTCAAAAACCACTTCAAAAAGTGGTTATCCACCACTTTATGCCGTTCGACTAGCTTGTTTGCTTGTGTTTCGGTAAGCTCGTGTGGATCCTGTCTTGGCTTCTTGTGGACAAAGTCAAGCTGATGCAGATGGGTGAGCACGGTTGCATGAGAAAAGCCTAGTTCTGCTGCCAATTTACGAGAACTTGATAACGGCTCATTTTCCAAACCAGAAATAGAGTCTTCATCATCGAGTTCGGTTGGTCGTCCGGATCTCGGACTGTCGGTCAAATCTTCATTTTCGGCGTTGAACTCATAAAATTGCTCACGGACTGTTGATTCTCCAACTATACAATCACCCCAAGGTTTGTTGATTCGGCGAGCAGCATCAACATCATCTGAACCAGATTTGTACTTGGAAGTATCAACAAACGTTTTTGTTTCCTGGACAAATCCATTCTGCAGCAGATAGAGATAAATTATAAATCAACAGATGCGCAAGAAGTAGACCTTAGAAATGACATGAAAATCACCA